TTTTAATTATATGTCTGGGTGTGGGTATGTGCACTTGAGTGTGGGTGCCCAGAGAGGCCACGAGAGAGTGTTGCATCTCCTGGAGCTGGAGGTACAGGCCATTGTGAGCTGTCTGACAGGGGTGCTGAATTTGGGTTCTCTGCGAGGATAGCAAGTAAAGTATGTGCTCTTAACTCCTGAGGCATCGTCCAGCTGCTTATTTCATTAACTTTCTGTCTTTTTTAGTTCAGACTAACCTCAAACTGGGGGCAGGATGGCCCTGACCTTACTCTCCAGCCTCCACCTGAGTGCTCAGATTATAGATAGGCAAGCACACCCATCTGTCTGTATGATGCTGGGGAAGAGCCCTGGTTTTCACGCGTGCCCAGCCAGCACTCTACCAACTACCCAGCCCCTAAAGACTAATTTTTATTCCATTCATTTATGTATTAGTCATTTGGAAGCTGGGCTTGGTGGCACATACCTTTAATCCCAGAACTTGGGAGGCAGAGATAAGGAGGCAAATTCCACACATTTGAGGCAGCTTGATCTACAGAGTGAGTTCCAGGCCAGCCAAGGCTAATAGTGAAACTGTCACAAATGATAATTTGGAATTGTTTCAGCTTCTAGGTGAATGGTAAAGTCTTAGGGATGACTGAGAGGAACTGAATGGAAAATTGTTGGAGATTCATTAGAACTACTGTGATAGATAAAACTGTCAATATCTGGAAGCTGGAAATATTAAATACTTACCCCAGTTCTGAGTTTGTGGCTGGGCAGAAATCTCAGCGGTTTCTTGCACCAGCTGCTCTTGAAAAGGAGCAGTTCAGTTCTCAGTACCCATGTTGGTGGTTCACAAGTGCCTGTAATTCCAGCTCCAGGGGATCTGACTCCCTCCTCTGGACTCTGGGCACTTACACACACACACACACACACACACACACACACACACACACACACACACACTAAAGCTTTTTTTAAAGAGAAAAATCTGATTTTATAAAGTTAATTTTTTTGGTATCAGGTGTTACCAGGTGGTGAAGGTCATGGTCAAGATCAGGGATGCCTTTCCTGGTTCTTGGATTCCTATTAAAGGAGTTGAGATGAAAGCCCACACAGATTTGCAGAGTTGATATAGCACAGGCATGCAAACATGAGTTTACGGGGCTGCTCTTACTCAACCACCACACCTGTTCTCCCAGCCGGGACTCCTCTGACCTTCCTCACAGCCACCTGTACCTGCAGCTTCAGAGGACCTGCCTCCACAAGCACTGTGCCCGGTTTATAACACCAAAAATAAACACAAAGTCTTGGGTTGGGGGAGAAAGGAAAAAAGGTGCTTGTGGGCCGAAAGTCAGTCTGCCCATGCTTGAAGGAAAGTTCAAAGAACGGGTGAGGAAGTTGTGGGCTCTTTCTCTGTTCCTAATGGTCGAGGCTTGGACACAGAATCTGGAATACCAGAACCTGTGACACCCCCACCCCCCAAATTCCAGACACCTGGGAAGCAGTCAAGGGCCTGGAAGAGATGCCTCAGGCTAACAGTTTGCTTAGAAAAATTTTTTGGATTTTTGTTCTTTATGAGTACTTTGCACCATGTTCATGTAGTGTACTCCAGGGTCAGAAGGTGGCATCAGATCCCCTGGAACTGGAGTTAGAGTTAATATGAGCCACCATGTCATGTGGGTGCTGGGATCTGAACCTGGGCCTTCTTCAAGAACAGCTAGTGTTCTCAGCTCCTAGGTTTGTTTTTGTTTTCTTTGAGACAGGATTTCTCTGTGTTCTCTGTGTAGCTTTGGAGCCTGTCCTGGTATTCACAGAGATCCTCCTGCCTCTGCCTCCCAAGTGCTGGGATTAAAGGTGAGTGCCACCAATGCCCAGCGTCCTGGTTTGTTTTCTATTGCTGTGATAAACACTGACCAGAAGCCTCTTGGGGGAAGAAAGGGTTTATTTGGCTTCCACTTTAATATTCTAATTCATAATTGAGGGCAGTCGGGGCAGGCACCTGAGGTAGGAGCCTGGAGTCATGAAGGAATGCTGCTCACTGGCTTGCCTCCAGCTCACGCTCAGCTACCTTTCAGTCCAGGCTCACTCATCCAGGGATGAGTGCCCTGGGCCCTTCTATGTTAGTCAGAAATTACAATGTGCTGTAGACATACTCACAGGCTAGTCAGATGACAGCAACTCCGTGAGCCTCCCCATTCTAATCAGCTAATCAGCTTGATAAAATTAACCAGCACAGAATGAGTACTGCTCTGGCCGAAGACGAGTGGTTTCCAGTGACAAGGGTGGCTCACTGTTGTTGTAACTCAATGCCCTTTATCTGCCTCCCCAGACAATAGCACTTGTGCACATACCCAGGTACTGACATACATATTATTAAAAATAAATCTTCAGAGAATGTAGCTTTAGGGAACTCAAGTTCCAGTTGGGAGAGGGGCCGTGGAGATGGGGCTGCCTGCTCCAAACCTTCCCACTGTCTGGGCTTGCCCTTGAGCAACTTGCCTTAGTTCCATGCAGTCTGAGCCTTGGGATAGGGCAGATTATGTGGAGGCTCCTGGTCACGGGCAGGAGGAGCCCACGTGGGTGTGTGGGTGACTGGTTGGCCCTTGTTCCCCCTCTATCCCTCCTTTGAGTTGTCCAGCAGTACAGGAAGCAGTCTTGTCCACAGCTCTGTCCTCCAGAGGCCTTCCCTTCGCCCTCTGGACAAACTGAAGGGACTTTTCAGCAACTATTTGAAGAATAGTGAGGCACCTCTCTGTCATGGAAGAGGTGAGAATGGTTCACTGTGAAGTGTATGTAAAACACCAGTGTGTGGGTGTGGGTGGAGGGGGGAGCCATGACTTCAGTAAGAAATACTGGAGCAAACAGGTTCTATTTGTCTATTTGAAACAAGTTTTGTAAAGACAAGAGACTGTCAGATATGTCATGGGAGATCCAAGTCTTCATTGGCCTCCCCAAGGGGTAGTGCTTAGAAGTACTGATGGGATATAAAAATGAGTTGGAAGGTGGAGTGTGAGGTGAGAAGGCTCCTGAGGTCTAACGACACCTCCGAAGAGTGATGCTGGTGTGAGCAGAGGGTGGGATTTTGTATTTTTGATCCCAAAAGTTTAGCTGTCAGGCTCGGTGAGAGCTCAGGGATAGGAGTGTTGGCTATGCAAGCCTGGTGACCTGAGCTAATTCCCAGGGGCTGTCCCCTGGAGATTGGAGAGCCAGCTCTGCTGGAAGGAACTCTGGATGCTCTTCAGCACCACATACAAGTTCACAACCATCTGTAACACTAGTTCCCAGAGGATCCAATGTCCTCTTCTGGCCCCCACCAGGCATCCATACAGTGCACAGACATACATGCAGGCAAAATACTCATACACATTTAAAAAAAGCATGTCACACCCATGTCATAGTGCACTTTGCCCCTCCAGTAATAATAAAAAATATTATTTATTTGAAACTTAGTCTGTGTAGCCCTGGATGGCCTGGAACTTGATATATTGATCAGTGTAGCCTCGGACTCAAGATATCTACCTGCCTCTTCCGCTGGAAGGCTGAGATTAAAGGCGTGCTCCATCACACTTTTTATTCTTTTTATTCTTTTAAATACCATTGATGGGGATCAAACCTAGGGCTTCTTGAATTCTAGGCAAGGACTCTGCCAACTGAGCTACATCTCCAGTTCTCATCAGACATTTTTGCATGCTCTTAGTAATGAAAAGTTGGTGTCTCCTAGGTTATTGGTTGACTAAAAACCTCAGGCAAGCGAGCAGAGAAACTTGAGACATGAAAGTTGACCTGCTAATAACATTTGCAGGTAGTTAGGAGCTGGGGCAACTCCTTCCTCATAAGATAACATATAACCTTCTTCTGTATATACTGTTTACAGACTGCAAGGAAACAGATGTACAGATGGGCTGTCCAACCCAAAGTTCCTTTTGATTCCCTATGCAACCCCAAGTCTCCGACTGCAGCCCTTCACTGTTCTAATTAGACAGTCCACTTCAGTGGAGGTCTGTTTCCATTTTCACGTCTGCTGCATAAATCCCTATCTAATTTTTTTGCTAGTTTGAGGTGGATAAAGCAGCCTCCTGGTTCCTGATAGATAACACAGGTGCTCTATGGATACCATCACAACCTTTGTGTCAGGAGTCATATACAGCAGAGCTAATAAGGTCACACTCCTTAGTGATCTGGAAACAATCTCAGGGCCTGCCAGGTGTTCTGGTAGCCCATGAATAAAATTCTTGTACTCAGGAGACCCAGTTCTCTTATAAAAAAGGGAGAGGTAAGGCCGGGCATTGGTGGCACACGCCTTTAGTCCCAGCACTTGGGAGACAGAGAGAGGCAGATCTCTGAGAGTTCGAGGCTAGCCTGATCTACAGAGTGAGTTCCAGGACAGGCTCCAAAGCAATACAGAGAAACCCTGTCTCGAAAAACAATAAAAACAAAGCAAGCAAGCAAGCAAACAAACAAAACAAAAAAGAAAAAAAGGAGAGGCAAAAGGGACAGGGAACTGGGGGGGTGTAGTCCCATTGGTAAAGTGGTTGGCTGCCATGCACAAGGCTCTCTCTAGGTAACACCTCCAACAAAGCATAAACCCAGGATCAGGGGTTCAAGTTCATCCTTGGCTACTGAAGTTCATCGAGGCCAGACTGGCTTTCATGAGACCTGGTCTCAATTACAAAAAGAAAAAAGCTAAGAGAGTTTGCTTATGTTTCTCCTCAGCTGCCCCAATCAGTTTGAGACTTAGGGATCTAGGACCTAGAGAAAGCATACATGATTTATCCTTATTCTTTTCCCTCTATCCTCAGGGTGACAGGGCGGGAACTGCAGTAACTGTCCAATGAGACACATCGCTGGAAGGGGCGGTGCGCCCCGCAAAGCTACCAAAGAGACAGAGGCTCTTATTTGGGTGGGTCTGTCCCTGTAGTTGCCTGCTCGGCCTCTCTAAATCCCTCAGTGCCCTACACTGCCCAGAAGAGAACCCGGAACCTGTAGATGAGCGTCACTAGGACCTTCTGGGCAACGGGATGGTGAGTGCAACCGGAGATGGAGATGGAAACAACTGCTGCGTGAGGCAGCCTTGCGTCACTCAGGAGTCTGCGCTGAGTTTGCTGCTTGCCCCCCTCTCAATCCCCACACCCCTTGTCTTCGTTTTGGCTCAGTCTGTCCAGGCTGCGGCTTCTGCCGTGCGCTGGGCGGGGCGGCAACAAGATCCCGACTGTGTCGAGTGCAGGAGGAGCTGCTGCCCGAGGGTCCCCAGTCCATCCCTGCTCCCTGAGTGGGGGCAGATTCCCCCTGTGTTGTTCAGATTTACCGGCAGTCTCAAATTAGAGATCCTATTCCAGGCTAGCTTTTCAAATTCTGCTGCCAACGAAGACCTTCGTTTCTTGTTCCCCTTTTCACATCTCCTAGAAGAGCTCCCTCTCTCCTTGTCCTTGCCCCCTTTTCTTTCTCATTTTCACCCCTCCCCTCCTACTCGTTCTCACATTCTTAATAGGTCCCGTCTGGCTTGGGTTTAAGTGGTGCTGGGGATAGAACCCAGAGCTTCCTGTATGTTGGTCAGCAGTCTTCTGATGCTGAATTTAACTCCTCATTCGCAGGGGCCCCTAATTCTCAAATCCCAAGTATTGCTATTACAGACCTGTGCTATCTCAGCTGGTGACGTTTCTGCATTTTTAACACACATTCTAATGACAATTTTTCTTTAGGTCAAAGGTTGGTTTGGTTGGCTGACTGATGTTTGCGGTACTGAGGATAGAACCCAAGGGCTTTAAGCTTTATCATTGACCTGCATCTCCAGTCTTTTGTTTGCTTTTAGCATGTGTGTATTTTTTATGCAATTAAGGATGGTCCCAAACTAATAATCCTGTCTCAGCTTCCGAGTGTTGGGATTACAGGTATAGCACATCAAGCTTGGTTGAATAGCTGTTACAAAGCCTAAAGTTTTGCCTTATTGGCTGCTTGCATGACAGGAAGCTTTCTGGAAATGTGTTTTCTAAGATGCATGGGACAACACAGGTGATCTATTTGTACCATCATGACTTTTGTGACAGGTGCTGTCTACAGCAAAACTAATAGGACCACACTCCTCAGTGATCTGGAAACAAGCTCATGGCCCTCCAGGTGCCCTGGTAGCTCATGAATGAAAGGGATCCAGTGTCTATTCCAGGCACAGATACCATAAGGGGTTTTTTCCCCCCAAACTTTTTCTGGGTCATTTGCTGTCTAGATACAACCCCTTATGAGTATTGCCTTTCCCTGTGGGGTGTCACCTTTAAGGGCTTTACTTATTTATTCGAGCCTCAGTTTCTCAGTAAAAGCAAGTATTTAAATAAAAAGACATTGAAAGACAAATACAGTCTTTTCCTAAAATCAGGAAAAGTGTACATTTCATTAAAAAGTGAAACAGAGGGCTGGAGAGATGGCTCAATGATTAAAAGCACTGGATACTCTTACAGAGGACCCAGGTTTTAATTCCAGCATCCACACAATTGTTCTCAACTGTCTGTAAATCCCGTTCCTGGGGGGTCTGTCTCCTTCAGACACACATGCAGACAAAATACCTATACATGTAAAAATGAATTTATTTAATACTGAAACTTGGTGGCCCTGCCTTACATTCCCCACCCCAGCCTCCTAGTGTGTCAGCTGCTGAGACCTGGGATGGACGGCCCAATGGATTCTTCCTGGGAGGCTTGCCTGTAGGTGTGCCAGCATGCTGCTGTTTATACCCACCTTGCAGAACCCTGAAAAATGGAGATATTTATGCCAATAAGACTGGCTTCACAGTAGGTCTCTGGGAAAAACAAATTTGTGTCTTATTTATGTGCATTTGCTTATTTTAAAAAAGCATGGCTTTGGTAAACATAGGTTGAATTGGTACAATTTTTCCATCTATCTTGGTCATACTGGACCAGTTTCTTTCAGCCCACCAAGTCCCCACAGCTGCTGAAATAACCACTCAGAGATTTAATATATGTTTATAATTATTTGGTCATTGGCTCAGTTTAGATTTCTTACTGGCTAGCTCTCTTAATTATTAATCCATTTCTATTAATCTGTGTGTTATCAGGTGTCCTTGGCTTACCTAGGTGATGCCCTGTCATCTGCCTCCCTGTCAGCCAAATAGCATCTTTCTCTGTCTCCTTCTCCCTGCCTCTTTGTTCAGAATTCCCGACTAGATAAATTCTGCCTTTCCATTGGCCAAAACAGCTTTATTCATTAACCAGCAAGACAAACACCTAGTCACAGCATACAGAGGACACCCCTATCAATAGGTTTATGAATTTAGTTCTCCCCCCCCCCCAAGGATGGATGACAATAGGTTTTCAAGTAGCCCAGGTTGGCCTCAAACTCTTATAATCAAGGATGACTCTGAACTTTCTTTTTTTGTTAATTTTTTTTTCCTGGGTAGTGGAGGCACAGACCTTTAATTCCAACGCAAAGGAGACCGAGGAAGGTGACTCTTTGAGTTCAAGGTCAGTTTGGTCTACAGAGCAAGTTCCAGGACAGCCAGGGCTACACAGAGAAACCTTGTCTCAAAAAAACCAAAAACCAAAGCAAAATAAAACAAAACAAAAAAGTTTTTAAGATTATTTTTATTTTAAGATTATTTTTATGTCTGTACCACTTTATGTCTGGTTCCTAAAAAGATCAGAAGGTGGCGCTGGGATTCCCCAGGAAATGGAATTAGGGACAGTAGTGAGCCTCCATGCTTGGCACAGAACCCAGGTCCTTTGAAAGAGTAACAAGTGCTCTTAACAAAAGAACCATCTCTTCAGGCCAATCTTGAACTCTTGATCCTCCTGTGCCTACTTCCAAAATTGTTTTTTTTTTTTTTTTTAAGTTAGTTCATGGATGCTGGAGGGCAAACCCAGGGCTTCTTGCTAGGCAACACTACAATCCAGTGAGGCCCCAGCTCTCAGGCTTCCATTTTGTATCCACAGGGTAGTGCACAGGGAAGCCTGTGAAGGCCATGGTTTCTGTACCTTGGCAAATGTTGGTGCAGTGGGATTTCATTTTGGGTTAAGGAAGCGGCAAAGATAACATACCCAAGAGGTCAGCGTGGGGAATCCTGTAGTCCACCTGAGCCTCATTCAGAAGAAGCTGGAAACACTGTACCAGACAGAACTGGGGGATTCATAAAAGGTGGTCTTCTTGGAGGCATGACACACCTGCAGGCCCCCTCTGCATCTCTTCCTGTCACTATTCCCGTGTCTCTGTACAGTTTGCTAACTCCAGTGCCTGCCCTCCACATTCACTGCAGCAATTCAAACCACCGGACCTACACCATCTATTCTCAGTGTTTTGTTTTTTTTTTTTTTTAAACTTTATTACTCTGTAACTGTCCTAGTCAGTGTTCTATTACTGTGAAGAGACACAATGACCAAGGCTAAAAGAAAACATTTGGGGCTTGCTTACAGTTTCAGAGATTATCATTATCATAATTATCATTATGGGGAGCCTGGTGGCATGTGTTGGACTGGAGTAGAAGCTGAGAGAGACATCCTGATCTGCTGGCTCTGAGACACTGGGCTGGGTGTGGGCTTTTTGAAACTCAGAGCCCACTCCCTAGTGATACTCTGCTTCCAACAAGGCCACACCTCCTAATCCTTTTCAAGAGGTGCTACTCCCTGTGACTAAGCATTCGAATATTTGAGTCTGTGGGAGCTTTTTTTTAAAAATTAATTTTATGTGCATATTTGTCTGTGTGAGCATGTTGGATCCCCTAGAACTGGAGTTATAGACAGTTGTGAGCTGCCATGTGGATGCTGGGAATCGAAGGTAGGTCCCATGGAAGAGCAGCCAGTGCTCTTAACCATTGAGCCATCTCTCCAGCCCTGAGAGCCATTCTTATTTAAACCACCACAACTCAGTCTGGCCTCCATCTCACTATTCAGGGAAGGCTGTCCTAACTCATGGTAGTCCCCCTCCTTTACTACCTCAGGCGTTTAATAAAAAGGTATTTATTACATTTTCCTCTTACCCCTGTGGATGTGTAGATCAGAGCACAGCTTGTGGGAGTGACTTATCTCCTACCATGTGGCCTCAGGGAATTGAACTCAAGTTGTCAGACTTGGCAGTTAGTTAGATGCTGAGCCATCTCACTGCCCCCCCCCCCAAGATTTTAACATTGGTTGCTTTTCTCAGTCACTTTACCTTATTTTTAAGATGGTTGGCTTGCCATTTTGGCTATACTGGCTAAACGGCCAACAAGTCCCTGGTATCCTCCTGTCTCCACACCCACACTGGTGCTGGTACAAGCTTGTGTTGCCATACCTGTCTTTTTACGTGGGTACTGGGGATATGAACTCAGCACCCCATGCTTCTGTAGCAAGCAAGCAAGCCCTGTAGCTACTGAGCCCTCTCTTTAACCTCAAGTGTAGCTTAAACTGGCCTTCAAGATCCTCCTGCACTTCTTATATGCATGCACTACCACAACCAGATTTGGCTGGCCTCACACTCATCGCAGCCCTCCTGTTTGAACCTTCTGAGTGCTGGGATTACCGCTGTGTCCCACCATGCCTGCCCTGCCTTCTAACAGGTATTTTGTAATTGTGGGTCCATTTACCATCACATTGTGATGCCCATTCAGCTATGTCAGAAATTGATGCTGTGGGGCCAGCCGTTGGTGGCCCATGCCTTTAGTCCCAGCACTTGGGAGGCAGAGGCAGGCGGATCTCTGTGAGTTTGAGGTCAGTCTGGTCTACAGAGAGTTCCAGGACAGGTTCCAAAGTAACACAGAGAACCCCTGTCTCGAAAAACCAAAAGAAAGAAAGAAAGAAAGAAAGAAAGAAAGAAAGAAAGAAAGAAAGAAAGAATTGGAGCTGTTAGGCTAGCAAGATACCCAGCAGGTAAAGGTACTTGCCACCAAACCTAGTAACCTGAGATTAAGCCCTGTGTTGGTTTGAAGGAGAATGGCCCCCATAGGCTCATATGTTTGAATACTTGGTCCCTGGTTGGTGGGACTTTGGGAGGGACTGAGGGGTGTGGCCTTGTCGGAAGAGACTGAGCCTTTTTCTCATCTCTCCTTCTGAACCCTTGTGGATAAGGGCATACGCTCTCAGCTGCCGCCTGGCACTGTACCTGCCTATTGTCTTGCTGCCCAGCGTGATGCCTGCTGTTTTGCTGCAGCTCCTGCGGGCGATGAAACAAACTCAACAAACCCCCACGTGGAGTTTACTCAACAAACCCACGTGGAGTTTACAGGGAAAGGGAGCAAAAGAAGGGGTAGGCGTTGGCCAACCAGGAAGGGGGAAGGGAAAAGAGGTAAAGAGACACACAGACCGAGAAAGAGGACAGGAGAGAAGAGGGAGACAGGAAAAGTCCAGTTTGCCCTAGGGGAAAAGCGGGAAAGAGAGAAGAGCAGGAATGAGAGTGGAAAGAGAAGAGCGGGAAAGAGAAGAGAGTAGGTAGAGATGAGCAGGCAGAAAGACCGTAAGTGGTGGGGTCTTTCTCTTAAAGGGGTCCTTTGCACCTCCATGGAACCCTGGGTTGGCCAGGGTACTGCCTGAGTGCATTCTGCCAGGTGACAGGGGCAGGCCAGCGTACCGCCTGAGTCCCTTGCAATGGTTATGAACTTACTCTCTGAAACTGTAAGCCCCAATAAACTCTTTCTTCAGTAAGTTCACGGGTTATGGTGTCTTAGTACAGCAATAAAAAAGTAACGGAGATAATACCCAAGGCCCACACGATGAAAGGAGAGATTACTCCCACAAGCTTGTCCTCTGACCTCCACATCCTCTATGGCATGTATACCCCAGTAAATAAATGCAATTTCAAAAATTGAGAGGAACATAGCTGTGAATCTCTTCTCTTTCTCAGCAGGGGCCTGTGGCTCTACCAGGAGCCTTGTCTTAACATGTGTCTTATGAGGAAATGGGAGTGGACGGAGTGGAGGCTGCTGTAAGGCTCAGCGCCATGAGGATTTTGTAGGGTCAGAGGGCTCTTGCTTCTCATTTCTATCTTCTGTCTGTCTTCCTGATGATTTCCTTGCACAATCGTATGTTTGAGAGTTCATTTTTATCTTATGGTGTTTTTACCAGCATGTATGTCTGTGCATCATACTTCACTCTTACAGGACAGAAAGGGTACCAGAACTCCTGGAACCCGACTCACAAGCAGTTGTGAGTCACCATGTAGGTGCTGGAAACTGAACCTGGGTCCTCTTCAAGAGCAGCCAGTACTCTCAACTGCTGGGTCATCTCTCCAGCCCATCTTGTACAATTTTAAAGTGGGCAGAGAGGAAAAGAAAAACTATGCTTGTGATAAATCTGTCAATAAGTCAGACATGGTGGCACCAGCCACAGTCCCAGCCTTTGAGAGGACTGGCAGGGAGATCATGAGCTGGAGGCTGGCCTGGGGTAACAGAGCTGGACACTGTCTAAAGCCAACAAACCAGCTAGGGAGACAGAAGGCTCAGTGGGTGAGGTGAGTGTGTGGAAGCATCAAGTCCTGAGTCTGGGCCCCTAGCATCCATCTAAAGTCTTAGTATGGCTTATGCCTGTGATCCCAGTGCTGGGGATGGAGACATGGTCTGGGGCTCACTGGCTAGTCAGCCAGCACAGCTGGAAAATGGTAAGCTTAGGGTTCGGTGAGAAGCCCTGAACTCACTCATCCAGGAATACCATCAATGCTCATAGTAGACAGGAAGTACATGAGGACAGATGTAAGCAACTGAGACAGCCTTTCCATTGTCTTGGTATGGAGAGTAGTGGAGCATAGCACCTGACATCCTCCACAGGTGCATGGACGAGCCAACAGTTAAAATGTACAGATCATTCCATGCGTTTTGGTGCCAATAATTTATAAGAAAGTGAATGCGGACTAAGGTAAGAATTCTGGTAACCATATTCATTTACCGTAAACTAAAAGTGTAGAGACCATAGGATTGTATGTGATTGTCTTTTTAAAGGGAGGTTTGTTTTTATGTATATGTCTATGTTAGAATATGCTGTGTGTGCTGCCTCTCCCCTCAGCAAGGAGGCTAGACGAGGGTGTTAAATAGCTTGGAGCTGGCGTTGTGACCAGCTCAGTGTGGGTGCTGGGAACTGAACTCAGGACTCTGAAGGGCAGCGTGCTCCATAACTGCTGAGCCATCTGCCATCTCTGTGCCCACTTATGCAAATGTCTTATTGATTGAGTACAGGTTCTTTGTGCTACATGTATATCTCTCTTCCTCTTGTAAACACATTTGGGGTGTTTCAGGACTTGGTGACCTTCGAGGATGTGACTGTGAACTTCACCCAGGATGAGTGGGCTCTGCTGGATTCTTCCCAGAAGAACCTTTACAGAGAGGTTGTTGGGGAAATCTTTATGAACTTGGCTTCTATGGGTAAGGATGGCAGCTTCTTACTTTCTCAATTAGACAGCATGCTTTGCCCATTAGTGCTGGCCTGTAATTGGAAATGTGGAAAGGAATACTTTGATAAATAGACAAAGCATCAGCAGGGTGGTGCATGCCTCTAATCCCAGCACTCAAGAGGCAGAGGCAGGCAGATCTCTGTGAGTTCCAGGCCAGCCTGGTCTACAAAGTGAGTTCCAGGACAGCTAGGGCTGTTACACAGAGAAACTCTGTCTTGAAAAACCCAAACCCAAACCAAACCAACCCAAACCAAAACAAAAAGCCATAGCATCATTGCTAATAACATTCTCTGTAATAATTCAGTTTTCTCCCCTCTGTGCTGTAGGAGAAAGATGGGACCAGAATATTGAAGACTGGTACAGGAATCAGGGGAGAATCTTAAGGTAACTCTCGCTGAAAACAGAAAGGAATGTCCCACAAAAGAAGCGTGGGAGCTGGGTTGGTAGTCCAGGTGGTAAAATGCCTTCTATGCAAGTGTGAGGAGATAGGTAGGCTTCTGGGGGGCTGAGTGGCCAGCCAGCCTAATCACGCTGGCCAGTTATTTGTAAAGTGGAAGACCCTATCTCAGAAAATAAGACAGCAAAGAACACACCCGAGGTTGGCCTCTGGCCTCCACAGGTGCACATGCACACATATACACACACATAGATGTTTAGTTTGTCATGATGTTTTAAAAGAATAAACCCACCCATCTGCATGTTTATTTACCTTTACCTCCTCTCTCTCTCCTCTCTCTCTCTCTGTGTATGTGCACATGTGGGTGTGTGCACAAGCATGCCTACAAAGGCCAGAGGTATCAGAATCCTCTGGAGCTGGAGTTAAGTTCTAGGGGTCCAATGTTCTCTTCTGGCACACACAGTGGTGTACAGACATGTAGGCAAATAGGTAAAACACCTATACACATAAAATCAAATAAAAACAAAAGCATTAAAAATGAACAGTGCACACACTTAACTGCTGAGATATCTCTTTATCCCCTAGTAAAAATATGAATTTGAAACATATCAGTAAGTATGAAATTGTGAGTAAAGCATTTGTAATGTGCTCTGTTTTTTTTTTTTTTCCTCAACAGAAACCATATTATAGAGAGATTTGGTGACAGCAAGCAAGGTAGCCATTGTGGAGAAACTTTCAGCAGAATTCTTGACCATGATCTGAAAAAGAAAAGTTCTACTGGAGAAACACTCTGTGAATGTAGTGTGTGTGGAATAGTCTTCACGCCTCACTCACCCAGGAATACCGTCAGTGCTCATACTAGACAGAAAGCACATGATTACGAATGTAAGCAGTGTAAGACAGCCTTCAGTAATTACCATTTCCAAATCAATGACCAGTCTCACACTGAAGACAAGCCTTATGGGTGTCCGGAACGCGAGGAAGACCGCCTTCCTTTCACCAGCCTTGGTGAATTTGTTGTAATTCGTGCTAAAGGTGGAGCCCATAAATGTAACGTGTGTGGAAAAGGCTTGCACTACCCCAGCTCACTTAGAATCCACCAAAGAATTCACACAGGAGAGAAGCCTTACCAGTGCGAACAGTGTGGAAAAGCCTTCAGTTGTTGGGGCTCAGTTCGAAGACATCAAAGGACTCACACTGGCGAGAAACCCTTCAGCTGTGAGGAGTGTGGGAGAGCCTTCAGCTCTCTTTCAGGCCTTAAAGGACATATGATAAGGCACACTGGAGGTGGACCCTATAAATGTAAGGAGTGTGGGAAAGTCTTCAATTCACCTAGTGCACTTAGTAAACATGAACGCACTCACACAGGAGAGAGACCTTTTTTGTGTAAATACTGTGGGAAAGCCTTCATTTGTTCAACTTCAGTTCAAAAACATGAAAGAACTCACACTGGTGAAAAGCCCTATGAATGTAAGCAGTGTGGGAAGACCTTCATTTCTAATTCTGGCCTTCAAGGACATATGATCAGGCACACTGGCATAGGGCCTTATAAATGTAAATTCTGTGGGAAAGCCTTTGGCTCTCCTAGTGCGGTTCTAAGGCATGAAAGTGCTCATGTTGTATAGGATTCTTGTGACTAGAGCTGGGAAAGCTTTCACGTTTGGTCATTTGAGGACACATCAGGTATCAGAAAATCTTTTACTATCTAGTTTAGGTACAGAAAAGAATTACTGGAGGGAAACTCTGTTTAGAGAATATGGGAAAGCCATAAACTCAGATTTTATCGAGAATGCATGAAGAGGCTGAAGGAAAAAGCTTATTAAAAAACCAAAAAAAACCAACTTGTGTGTGTCTAAGTGTAACAGCATATTTTGTTGAGGAGGGTCAGAAGATACATAGAAGATGTTAGGCATGATGGCACAGTCCTTTCTAGATCCCAGTACTGGGAGGTGGAAGCAGGAAGTTCATGGTCAACCTCTGCTACGTAGCAAATCTGAAATCAGTTTGGGTTACATGACACTGTTTCAAAGGGGCACCATAAGCCTTTAATCTCAGTACTTGAGAGACAGAGGCAGATGAATCTCTGTGAGTTCAAGGCTAACCTGGCCTATATAATGAGTTCTAGGCTATCCAGGTCTACATAGTAAAATCCTGTCTCAAATAAAGGGGTTGGGGGATGCTCAGTAGTTATGAATGTTTGCTGTCCTCTCAGAGAACCTAATTTATGTTGTTAGCACCCATGTCAGAAATCTTACAACTGTCTGTGTAAGTTCAGCTATGGGGGATTTGAAGCTCTCTTCTGCCTCTGCAGGCTCTGCACTCAATATACATGCTCAGAATTTTAAAAAGATGGATGATTTCTCAAGGGGACAGATTACAGTCTATGGAGGAGGCATTGGGGTGGTGTGTAAAAATGTGATAGTACACATAAAATCCTGATAAGAACAAGGCCTGTGGGAATCAACCTGGTTTTTGTTGTTTTTTAATTTTATTGTGTGGTGGGCATGTATGGAGGTCAGAGGGTAACTCTGGGCATTAGTTCTGTTCTTTCCTTTCACCTTTATACAGGTCCTAGGGGTGGAGCTCACATTATCAAGATTAGCAGCAAGAAGAACCTTCACCTGCTGAGCCATCTTGCCTAGCCATTTCTCTCTCTCTCTCTGATTACATCTTGCTGTTAGGATGTCCTGGAACACAACAATCCTCCTACCTCAGCCCCTAAAGTGTTTTAGAAGTAAACATTTGAAGAAACATTTCATTTATTGAAGTGTGGGCATGGGGGGGGGGGAGGACCATGTGCTTGTGGAGATTAGAGATCAACTTTATGGAGTCTATTCTCCTCCTTTACATGGGTTTTGGAGATAAAACTCAGGTTTCCACACTTGCCCAGCAAGTGCTTTTACCTTTGGAGCCTTCTTGTTAGCCCTAATTGGTTGTTTGTTTTTTCCAGACAGGGTTTCTCTGTTTGACAGTCTTGGTTGTCCTAGAACTTGTTTTGTAGATCAGGCTGGCCTTGAACTCACTGAGATCCACCTGCCTCTGCTGGGATTAAAGGCGGATGTCAATACTACCTTACTAATTGGTTGCTTTTTTTAATGGGGTGTGTGTGTGAGAGAGAGAGAGAGAGAGAGAGGGAAAGAGAGAGAAAGAAAGAGAGAGAGAGAGAAAGAGAGAGAGAGGGAAAGAGAGAGAGAGAGAAAGAGAGAGAGATAGTTTGTGCCACTGCTAGTGTGGAGAGTAAAGGTAAAGAACAACCTTCAGGTGTTGGCCTATCCCAAACTGTTTGAGTCAGGATCTCTTGTTTGCATGTACTATGCTGTCTGGCCCGGGAGCTTCTGGGAATTCTGATCTATACCTTCTATCTCGCTGTAGGACCATGGCAATTAAATCACTTGTAATTTAAAAAAGCAGTGTGAGAGAAAAAAGAAAGCATATAACAGAGCTCATTTGGAGTTTTTTTTTTTTTGGAAACGGAATGGGAAAAGGGAGAGGAGCAGGGAAGACAGGTCTCTGGGGACAGGAGCAGTAGAAGAGGAGAGAGAGGCAGGGGGCAGGGAGACAGAGACAGGCAGAGAAGCAGAAAGAGGGGAGTGTGTGTGTGTGTGTGTGTGTGTGTGTGTGTGTGTGTGTAAGAGAGAGGAACAGACAGAGAAAGAGAGACGGAGGTGGGCAGGGCCCTTTTAAAAGGGAATGTAGTGAATGTGCATAGGTGGTGCTCTTAGGGGCTGCAGTTGAGGGTGTGTCCTGCTAGAACCCCAAGGACAGGCCAATGCCTGAATACTAACATCAGTACTGTGGTGGTTTGAATGAGAATGACCCCCGCAGGCTCATATATTTGAATATTTGGCCCCAAATTGATGGAACTGTTTGGGAGAGATTAGGAGAGGTGACCTTGTTGGAGGAGGTGTGTTACTAGGGATGGGCTTTGAGTAAAAAAACTCTATTCTGAGTCTCTCTGCTTCCAACTTTCAAATCACAATATAAGCCATAATGTTTTGCTCTACTACCATAGATTTATACCCTCTGAAACTCTAAACCCCAAATTAAATGCTTTTCTTTTATAAGATGTCTTGGTTATGATGCTTTATGACTGTAAATGGGAAGTAACTAAGAAAACAGAAAATGAAAAAAAAAATGACTTAACTGAGATTGGCCTAATATAGATTAATTAATACTATCATCTTGGGATTTCATATTTTATTCTTCTGATTTTTTTTTGTTCGTTTTGATTTTGTTTTTGCTTTTTTTTTTTTTTTTTTTTTTTTTGAGACAGTATTTCTCTGTGTAGTCCTGGCTGTCCTGGAACTCACTTCGGGTGTAGACCAGGCTGGCCGGCTTCAAACTCATGAGATCTGCCTGTCTCTGCCTCCTGAGTACTGGGATTAAAGGTGTGCACCATCACTTCCCAGCTTTAGAAAAATATTTATTTTTATTTTATGTGCATTGGTTTTTTGTCATGGGTGTCAGGTCCCCTGGAACTGCAGTTAAAGACAGTTGTGAGCTGCCCAGTAGGTGTTGGGAATTGAACCCAGGTCCCCTGAAAGGGCAGCCAATGCTCTTACCTGCTGAGCCATCTCTCCAGCCCACATATTTTATTCTTAATAACCATAGTCACCCTCTGCACACTCTCAAAGAAAAAAGCTTTAGAAATATAAGAAAAATAAAAATAAAAAAGGTGGCTTGATAAAAGACAAACCTTAGAAGAAACATTAGAAAGAGTTATAAATAAAAATGAGGAAGATACTGAAAGACAGGGACTAAGACAAGAGCCTACCACACCACTGTATAATGAGATAAAAGGTCAGTAGCTTATCCAGTTATAATATAAAAGATACCAGAAGGTGATAGGTACTCTAATATTATGAAGAATTTGGATAGCATCCCATAGCAATGCTAGATTTCAATAAATAAATAAATACATAAATAAATAAATAAAGAATGGGCTGGAGAGATGCTCAGAGGTTAAGAGCAGTGACTGCTCTTCCAGAGGACCTGAGTTCAATTCCCAGCTACCACAACCATCTGTAAGGAGACCTGCTTCCCTCTTCTGGCCTGTAGGCATACATGCAGACAGAATGCTACACATAATAAATACATAAATGAGTCTTTTAAAAAATTCTAAAGAAACTAATTCAGATATCAAACTCTTGGGCACGTCAAAATAGAGTAATCCCGCAAGACTGGAAAGATGTGACAAAAGCTGTACTAGAAGCTGGTCCTCATCTACCCTGGCGATCATGGTGGAAGGAAAAGGCTAAGGAGACAACAGGGAAATGGGGGTAGAGGAGTCAATAGTTCCTAAGAGTCGTTTCTAGGTGAAGGCCAATATGCCGAGATGTAAACGTAGGTTGAATATGATGATGCCACTATGTCACAGTAGCTTTAGTGCTTGGGACAAGGTGGAAGGAATAAACCATTTAATAAAATTATACAAGGCCCAAAGGACTCATTCACTGATTGGCTTTTTTTTTTTTTTTTTTTTTTTTTTTTTTTTTTTTTTTACAAAGATTGACTTCAGCTGTAAGTAGAAGAATATCAGTTTCAGATACCAATTGAATCTTTGGCTTTTAAGAATGCTAATTCTGAATGCAAAAAAGTTATCAGGTCTCTAAAGGCAAGAGCAGTACCGATTGATGAGTGGATTAGAAATATGGCTGATACTGGATTTATACTTATGATACAATTTTAATTGGAGAAATAATCTCTAAGTGTTTTAAGAAAAGCCAAACTGTCAAATGTCTTGTCTATGGCAATCAAGGTCATTTCAAAAGGGATTATAGGCTAGGCATTCCTAGAAACTAAGTGTTTTTCTAGAGATAATCCAAAAAGAAGGTACCAGCCTTCTGAAGTATGCATTGAACTAATGAATGCAGGTCAACAAGGTACAAAGAAGGTATCCCCTTGTTGGGAAACACCCTAGGGGACCTCTTACAGGCAATGATATCAAATTCAAGTTTTCCATTTCAGATCAGCATCTGTAATTACACATTTATTAGAAGTTACGTCTATATTAGGAATACCTTTACAAATTAAGACTGACAATGCTCCAGCATATCTCTAGTAAACTCAGTTTTTTGCATACCACATATATTTTTAAGGATGTCTTAACTTCAGAATAGAAGTCAGGAAATGTACTGGGGAAAAGGCTATGCCTTTGTTTCCACAGGAAATGAAAAGCTATGGATTCCTTCAAAATTAATAAAGATCAGATTTGACTGGGGGAGACCTCCTGAAAATATTGGCTACAGACATGAAGAAACAAACCAAGAGAAACTACAAGGCAGGTGACTATGTGTACATCCCTCTGCATGGCAACAGCTCTGAGACTGGTTGAGACATGATAAATCTTGTTGGGTGCAGAATTCTCATGACTTATTTTTACATGCCATCCTTTCACATGTCATGGAGATTTATATTACAGTTCGTTTATACAGTCCAAATGGACTTATAAAGTTGACAAATGCCTTTTACCTGCTCAAACATAAAGTAGAGAATCATCTTTAGCTGACTTATGCACACTACACATTCCATACTTGCGTTAATTCAGATATGTATGTTACCTTTAAAGTTTGTGTTTTCAGAACCAAAGGACCAGATACCAATGAAGACAGGACGAGTAACCCAG